CAAGATGAAGGACAGCCAGTGTTGTACTCCTGTGCTTTGTGCAAGATGAAGCACAGCCAGTGCTGTACTGCTGTGCTTTGTACATGATGAAGTACAGCCAGTGCTGTACTGCTGTGCTTTGTACATGATGAAGTACAGCCAGTGCTGTACTCCTGTGCTTTGTGCAAGATGAAGCACAGCCAGTGCTGTACTGCTGTGCTTTGTACATGATGAAGTACAGCCAGTGCTGTACTCCTGTGCTTGGTACAAGATGAAGTACAGCCAGTGCTGTGCTGCTGTGCTTTGTGCGAGATGAAGTACAGCCAGTGCTGTGCTGTTGTGCTTTGTGCGAGATGAAGTACAGCCAGTGCTGTGCTGCTGTGCTTTGTGCAAGATAAAGTACAGCCAGTGTTGTACGCTGTGCTTTTTACAAGATAAAATTGTAATGAAACATTGCTACGTCTTATATTAAACTACGTCTACGAGGCATGTATAACACCAAAATTTCTAGTGCAGAGCATGGCCACATAACTATATTAAAGTGGCAACATTTCTAGTGCAGAGCATGGCCACATAACTAGATTAAAGTGGCAACATTTCTAGTGCCGAGCATGGCCACATAACTAGATTAAAGTGGCAACATTTCTAGTGCCGAGCATGGCCACATAACTAGATTCGTCTCTGGGCCGTCGGTGTTCACACATGTTCCTGTCTTTTTGCAGAGCGAACAATTCACTGGATTTCACTTACCACGACCACGATGCCATGACGTGGTACTTGCGCAGCGTGGCAGCGACGTACCCAAACCTGACAGCCCTGTACTCAATTGGGACCAGCGTGCAGGGTGAGAGTACTGTCATAACTGCTCCTGACAGACGTGAGATCCAGTGGGACCAGCGTGCAGGGTGAGAGTACTGTCCTAACTCCTCGTGACAGACGTGTGCGCCAGTGGGACCAGCGTGCATGGTGAGAGTACTGTCCTTACTCCTCCTGACAGCCGTGTGCTCCATTGGGACCAGTGTGCAGGGTGAGAGTACTGTCCTAACTCCTCTTGACAGACGTGTGCTTCAGTGGGACCAGCGTGCAGGGTGAGAGTACTGTCCTTACTCCTCCTGACAGCCGTATGCTCCATTGGGACCAGCGTGCAGGGTGAGAGTACTGTCCTTACACCTCCTGACAGCCGTGTGCTCCATTGGGACCAGCGTGCAGAGTGAGAGTACTGTCCTAACTCCTCTTGACAGACGTGTGCTCCAGTGGGACCAGCGTGCAGGGTGAGAGTACTGTCCTTCCTCCTGACAGCCGTGTGCTCCATTGGGACCAGCGAGCAGGGTGAGAGTACTGTCCTAACTCCTCCTGGCAACATTTAGGCCCGAGCATGAGTCATGATACATAATTTTGGTCCCACATACGCCACTCTTTATTATGCCGGCACCATATCACCCATCACAGGTCGTGAGCTATGGGTGCTGGTACTGTCATCCTCCCCTTATCGCCCCATCGTAGGCCAGCCAAACGTCAAGTATGTGGGCAACATGCATGGCAACGAAGCCGTGGGCAGAGAGATGTTGCTGCACCTCATACAGGTACTATCTACCTTCCAAGTACTTAAATACTATAACTCAAACAGGAACATAAATTTTACAATTATTTATTATGTGCCTCGTAAATGTACCTACATGCCACACACCTTCATGTTATGCCTCGTATTGATATATACTTACCACGCACCTATGCGAAATACCCCTTACATGTGTCCATACGACCATTAAATAAATGGTCTGCATCGGTCAGGAACCTACATGTCACATACTTATAGGCTATAAAGTATGTTGTGATTGCAAAGTACTTGACTAGTAAAGTGCCCGGTAAAGAACCAACGTGCCACAGCACCTGGTGACCCAGTAACAACATTGTACCTACTGCAGTATATTTAACAAATACCTTGTCATGTACCTGGTCCCACAGCACCTGGTGACGCAGTACCAACATGATACATACGTACGCTGGCTGCTGGACAACACGCGGATTCACATCATGCCCTCACTTAACCCCGACGGCTTCTCTGTCGCCAAGGAGGGAACCTGCCAAGGAGGACAGGGCAGGTGAGCTCCCAAGCACATTGCCTGCAAACCCAGCATTACCAAACTGACCGCACCACTGCCTACTCTTACGACTATCATCTATCTCACTAAATACGGATGGAGTTACTGCCTTTGACCCAACTACTCTTACCGTTATTATTGTCACTACGATAACCGTTATTTCATGCTGAATCACCCATGCTCCCGATGTACAACTCATCAAAGTTTTGTTACCAATTCCCTTAGTTATGAATACGGATTGCAAGAAATCTCCCAACTCCCTAAGGAAATATTTTGTCGATTCTTCATGCCTTGAGAGACGAACCTCTCCGTTTTGAGTGAGAATATTCGTAACCTTTCTTACCCCTTACGCCCCTCGGTAATTATTTAATGCCCCTCCTTGCCCCAAGGTACAACTCGCAGGGGTTTGACCTAAACCGCAACTTCCCCGACTACTTCAAGTCGAGCAACAAAAACAGCCAGGCGGAGACAGAGGCTGTGAAGCTCTGGATTGCCCGCATACAGTTCGTCATCTCCGCAAACTTGCACGGGGGGGCTTTGGTTGCTTCCTACCCTTTCGACAACTCCCCCAACACCCGTGAGTGTGACTTAAATAACTTTTATTTGAAGGCTTATAACCCCTTTCAGCAGTCACCCTACAACTGTGAGTATTGCCGTTTTGTACAAGTTCTTACCTGGAGCTGTTCAAATACTTTCTACACTTCGTTCAACACTCATGTATCTTGCTGAGCTGAACTCTTCTTACCTGGTCGCGCTCTACCCCACGGACATTAAATAACTCCCCCTAACCCCGTGGGTGTTGCTCTGATTAACTAACTCTTTACTTATGGCGTCGTATACAATAGCGTCTCGTCTCGTGTCTCTCATTAATTCAATCGACCTATACACCTACGCATATCTTCTTGACATGCCTATACTCTTACGCATATCAACTTGACATGTCTATGCTCTTACCCATATCACCTTGACATGTCTATACTCTTACGCATATCACCTTGACATGCCTATACTCTTACGCATATCACCTTGACATGCCTATACTCTTACGCATATCACCTTGACATGCCTATACTCTTACGTGTACTCACCACGACTCACCTTCTCATTTGTCTGCTGGCCCTGGCACGGAGGACTGTCACCGCAAGCCGCTCTGTGGAGGTAACTCATCCAGATTCCCGACCTTTGGTTGTCGTCTTTGCGCCGTGTCTCTAAATTTCCTGCATGTGTAGCCGTACGCACGAATTTCATGCCTATACGCAGCCGAAACGTCATATTTTCAGAATGTTTAGCCATCTAATGTGGTTTATTTTGGTACTCATTAACGATGAATGCTAGATCTATTGTAATGTGATCAATCACTCAAATGTTATTTATATGAATGTCTTAGCCACACCAGTTCTGCCCTCGGTAGCTTACGTGTTTTTGAACAACCCTCTCCCCGCACGTCACCGCACTGCTTGATCTTGGTGTGTTTTTTTTTTCGGCAATAGATTCATAAGTTTTTGATCATTTCCCCGACATGGTGTTTATGGGTCCTACGTAGTGTACTTTACCTCGTAACATTATATCCGGTAATATGTCTATAATTCTCCTATGCTAATACAACTTGAATTGTTTCCATTCTCTGTTCATACTTAATTGTACGTTGAAATTTACTGACACAGGACAGGATTCAAGGTAGATTTAGGTCCATCCCAGCACTGAGATGGGCTTCAATGGTACGTCATCAGTTCAAGTTGAGTGAGGCGAGGTAGAGGTGGACTTTGTCGGTATAGTGTTATTTACATCACGCAACATCTTGCCAATTCAATTATATTTTCCTGATCTGTTAATCGCGTTTTTGAAGTGCCGATCTTAACGTGCTTATAATAATGCATCTAGGAACGACACCTTACCTGTAAGATGGCTTGCAATAACACTATATTGGTGCTAGTTTCATCAATGCAGTTGAGTGCATACTACAACTAACTTACTCTTGAATGCAGCTAACTCATCCATGGTCCTTGTTCAGTAATTTGGTCTACCTTATAGTCTGAAATTTCAGAGCTTCACTAACTTTTACCTGGTGTCGTTGGTTGCCTGCATAGTAGGCCAGCATGTCCTGCAGTTAGCAGTACGGGTGTAGCAGCATGTCCCTCCCTCATAAGCATGTCTCTTAATGCTGAGGTCGGTGTGTACTAACCAACCCTAACGTTCCTTACAAGGCCCCCTGCATGCAGAAGACCTCCTGCAGTACATGGAGGCGCGGGTAAAAACCACCCAGGAGCTGCAGCTCAGGGATGGTGAGTCACCCAAGTCGCCATACTTGGTTGGTGAATGTAACTTATAGGCCTCTACTAACCTATGGCTGAAAAGCCCTTGGTAACCTGAACTATAGCGGTCCTTGGTAACCTCAGGCCTAAAGACTTTTGCTGTTCTCCAGCTTACAGATCCTTCCTACCCTGAGGCTTATTGTTTATTGCAGCTCTGAGGTCTATAGGTCTTGGCTACAGTGAGACCCAAAGACTGTTACTACTTTGAGGCCTAAAGATCCTGACTACACTGAGGACTTACGATCCTGGCTACTCTGAGGCCCAATGACCGCGACTACCCTGAGGGTTAAAGATTCTGGCAACCAGAAGGCCTAATAGCCGTGACTACCTTGAGACTTAAAGACACTGACTACCCTGAGACTTAAAGACACTGACTATACTGAGACTCAAAGACACTGACTACCCTGAGACTCAAAGACGCTGACTACCCTGAGACTTAAAGACACTGACTACCCTGAGACTCAAAGACACTGACTACCCTAAGACTCAAAGACGCTGACTACCCTGGACTTAAATACTGACTACCCTGAGACTCGAAGACACTGACTACTCTGAGGCTTGAAGACACTGAATACCCTGTGGCCTAAAGACTCCGGACTTCGAGAGGCCTCAAGACCCTTGCTACTCTGTAGCCTAAAGTATGACAGAAAAGTGACTGCATGACGCCCCTCGCCTCTGAAGTATGGCAGAAGAGTGACTGCATGAGCGTGACTCAACAATACTAGTTACTATTCCAACTCAACAATACTAGTTAGCGTGACTCAACAATACTAGTTACTAGTTACCGCGTAACGAACATCTAGTAACACGCTTGGTACTGTGCAGTGTTCCAGCAATTCTACTCGAGTCCGTCACTCACCCCCGACGACGACGTCTTCAGGCATTTGGCGTCTACCTACTCTTTCAACCACGCGACCATGCACCTTGGCCTCCCCTGCAAGCCTGGGGCCTCTGCCTTCCCCAATGGCACGACCAACGGGGCTCAGTGGTACCCCCTAACTGGTACGTGGTACATAATCACTTGCATAGTCCCCAAAAACATCATTTCTACAACCAACCCCCAACCAACTCTTGTCCTAACAACCCTGCCCACATTCAGCAATTAATGTTTTTACCTACAGTGCCAAAGCTAAGCACTAGCATATTTCCTGCAGATATTTTGTGCAATTTTAATGTGCAGAGATGTTATCTATGATCTTCTCACCTCAGGCGGCATGCAGGACTATCACTACGTCTGGCATGGCTGCATGGACATCACGCTCGAGATCTCTTGCTGCAAATATCCTCGCGAGACGAAGCTGCGTGACTTTTGGCGTGACAATAAGAAGGTGATGGAGAATAACTTACAGAGCTATCTTGGTAGCTAACCTAAATATGCGCAATACCTCACCTCAGCTACGCTAATATTGTCACTAGACCTATCATGGCCTCAATGCATTAAACATAACCTGAGCAAATAATAAAGCTACTGTGAAGTATACAATATACTTCATTTCGCCACGTCCCTCGCAGGCTCTGGTGCGGTACCTGGGTGAGGTCCACCGTGGAGTGCGGGGGTTTGTGATGGACCCTCAAGGCAATCCCATTGAAGACGCTGCCCTCAAGATCACGGGGCGTGACGTGGGCTTCACGAGCACCAAATATGGAGAGTACTGGCGTGTGCTCCTGCCGGGGAGCTACAAAATAGAGGCGAGTACTGCAGAGTATCAGGACAGTTTTCCCGGCCGAAGGGATGTACTGCATGGTAGCATGACATGTACATGTACCTGCTAGAATAATATAAAGACGATCGAGTACTGCCACCACAAATGTACTTCTAAAATGGCTGCTTATGCACAATCGTTATTAATGGTTATCAGAACAATGGATACGTGCAATCTCCGCGATTGATCTGCAATCTGAACTTCGACCGCTTTGGTCACTTGAACACTAACTTTACCATTGATTCAATGACATGAGGAGGAAGCACACTTCACTTGGTGAGTACTACCTATGACTTGGTGATAGCTTATTATGAATTGGTGAAGGTTTACGAAGTTCAAGAAGGTTAAAACTTCTTGAAACTTTAATTGTACCTGTTGATATTTGTTTGATTTTAACATCCTTGTGTTGTCTGTAGGCGTACGCTGAAGGCTTCCTGCCTCGTCAAGACGAATTCTACGTTGAAGAAAGCAATCCAACTCTGCTGAACATAACGCTCTTCCCCGACCACCGTAACGTGAGTGTGGTACAAAACTCACTACAATGTGGTAACCTTAACCTGTTATGCATAACGCTCTTCTGCGATGCACTAAAAACTCACTAAGACAACAAAATGGGTCTCCAGACACAGCTTTAGGTTCGTTCCACAGAATGCTGCAAGCCGACAACCTCTGTCGGGGGAGAAGTTAAGCGGTGCCTATCACAAATGTGTTATATATTGTCCATGCTGGAGCAGCTGGACACAATTGTCACAATTCTTGACATGATATACAAGATTCTACGTCTCTTCTGCCTCCATCACGTCTCCCCTCCCCCCATCACGTCTCCCCTCCCTCCATCACGTCTCCCCTCCCCCCATCACGTCTCCCCTCCCTCCATCACGTCTCCCCTCCCTCCATCACGTCTCCCCTCCCCCCATCACGTCTCCCCCTCCTTGTCCCCCAGGAGTCCCCCAGCCCCCCGAGCAGCAGTGGGGGGCGCCCCGCGGGAGGGCTGATGTCAGCCGCGTCCTCCGACGTGGTAGTGAGTTCTTACTACAATATTACACTTTTTATTTATTGATCGGGAAAAATGTTTTCTGAACATTTTTAATCTATCAAATTTATCTGAACATTGCTGAATGTGTAATTCTGGGCTGCACTTCCTTTATAGAAGAGTAAATAGCAATACAGGCATGGTGTAAAATATTTTCTAACATATCTTATTTATTTTAGTATATTCTTTGGCGCCTAACACGCATGAAAGCCTCCTGGTTAAGACGACTCGTTTTACTGCATGACTCATGAGTGCCTGCGCATGCATTTTAATGTCAACATTTAATTATATTTCTCGGCTGCCCTCTCATGAGCTGGTGCCATGCAATCTTGGAACTGTCCTCAACGTATACTCAATACACTCCTACGTACACTCTCTGTACTCAGGCGTACCCTCAGGCAGGCACTCCTACGTACACTCTCTGTACTCAGGCGTACCCTCAGGAACTCCTACGTACACTCTCTGTACTCAGGCGTACCCTCAGGAACTCCTACGTACACTCTCTGTACTCAGGCGTACCCTCAGGCACTCCTACGTACACTCTACTCAGGCGTACCCTCTAATCGTATTCACTAACGCTGGCAAATCTTCTTTTCTTCTACCTCAGGTGATAGCTCTGATATCTCTCCGCAGCGTCTTGCCCTCTGCCCGGTATACCCACTGATCCATTAACCATTGATCCATTCCCACTGATCTGCTGCACCCTGATCCACTGCCCACTGGCATTACCCACCGAACTTCAGCGCACAACCCACTGCTCAAAACTATCGACTAAAAGACTCCCCACTAAACTTTTTGTTCATTCAACTTCGTATCTTCAATATTTGACATTTTGGTTCTGATTGGCCGAACCTGCGCGGACTGTCGGTTATTTTCATCGCTTACCCCATTCAATGTTAGCTCAGTGAACATCTCCCAACAACCCACTCCCTACCTGTCTTCGCACTACTTACACTGCATGACGTGACGTGATTCACTAATCTACTAAACATTGTAAACTTGACGTGCTACATGACGTGGCAGCATCATGCACAAATGTAAGCCTGCATGACGAGGCCTGGTCTTATGTCACCTGCACGTGGCATCATCTTATCTCACGTCCCCTGCACGTGGCATCATCTTATCTCACGTCCCCTGCACGTCTCCTCGTGCCCGAGACGCGGATGGCGAACCTCGTGTCCTCGTGACGGCGCCGGCGGTGCAGGCAGAGAACCGCCTGGTAATGTCGGGGGGAAGGCTACACACAGGAATGGGACGGTAGCGGGGGACGAATTTGAATAGGAGGAAAAAAGGAAAAGAAAGTACGGATCATGGATCATATACTGTAATTGGGATAAAGGGATAGAAACGATTAAAGAATGACTTAGAGAATAAGGGAGAAAAGGTAAGGGCCTGAAAAGAAATGGATTTTGATATCTTGATTAATTTAAGCTCCTTCCCTTTGGATGTTCGAGTTTCGAAAACTCGATTCTTGAAGTCAAATCTCGTTAATCAATAAGAAGAGATAATATCGAGGGAATTTGTCCAAATATCAATCACAAGAAAATATATGCTTGCATTGGAACAAAACCAGCGGCTACTGCCAACTTAGGGGGAACTGGCAACTGCTGGTGGGTGAGATCTTTTTCCAATTGGTTCAGGGGAGAGGGGGGGAGGGTTGGTCAGTCGCCCACGACATTCTTGGGCGTTGCATGTTGTTTGCATGTATTTACTTGTCTCTAGTTTATAATTGTGTTTTGTTTTTAGCCCACCAGTTTTACAGAATCGGTTCACCTAATTTGAAATTCTAGATCACTTGGTGTAGAAACTTTAGATATACCCTGTTTTATTCCATCAATCTTAGCAATTTATACGGTAGTGTGCATGAACGGTAAAGGGTACGGTAATTAACCTATTATAGTACTCTCTATACTAATTTTGCATTACGTAAAGGAACACACTATAACCAGGTGGAATTTAATCTAATCAGCACCAATTCTGCCTTTGTCACCACAAGTCTTAACACCAATTTAACTATAAAAAAAACAGTTCTAAAAGCAACCGTATGCACCCACCACAGCAGTAATAAACTTAGTCAGCAGCAAAAAGCTGACATGCCCTGATCAAAATAACGTTACCTAATCAAGCAGCAACTATTTAACGGTATAACATACGGTTACATACCTTACCAGTTAGTAGTAACTGCTTAATATATCATGGCCCAACCTAGCCTACTTTGGCAGTAAGCACCTAACTTGCAATGGCCGCAACAGCCTTACCTAAGCCGACTATAACAACCTAATTATATTATACACACCCTGGACACTTGAATTTACACTGCCTATGCTGATCTTAACTACGTAACCTACCCCGGCATCATCCCAACATACACTGACCAAGTGACCAGTGAGTAGTGACCACAACCTGACACACAGTGGCAACAACATTAACGTGCGATGGCAACAACCTGACACACACTGTCCAGAACTAGCTAACTTACCTTGGCAACAACCTGGTGCACACCAACCACAACAGATCTTCCTAGCTCTGCCCACCAAAGAAAGCTCCCTGACGTTGATCACCCAACAGGCGCACCAAGAAATCCGCCGCCGCCCTGTAAACTTCGTGGGCGGACCAAACACGCTCCAGGGCTCAGCACCTCAACGCGAGGGCGCATTGGGGGGCATAGCCAACCTGCTGGGGAGCGTCAGCAGCAGAGTGTCCAACTTCTTCAGCAGCCTCGGATGATGGCAGAGGTCAAACTTCAGCTCGTAGTGAAGATGGTGGTAGAGGGACCAACTTCTTCAACAGCATGGGATGATGGCGACAGAGCGACCACATCAGTCTAGTGCAATTAGCATTGAATATTTAGAACAGATGAAGTTTGTCTGCGTTTGTAACCACTTTCTTTGTAGCACTTATGTCACTTGCTCAATGTCTCCTTCATATCACTCGCTCCATGTCACTTCCATTTTCGACATTTTTGTGAGGCAAACTTTTTGAAGAGGTGGACTGTCGAAACAACGAAGCCATTAGTGCCAGGAATTTGTTCCCAATTTTGTAAAACCTTCAAAACGACAGCCCGCGCTGTGCGTGGTAATGATGGACCTTTCTGGCCTTAGCTGCCTGAACGTGGCTTGTCAAGCAATATTTAGATACTACTTTCAAAAAGGTTATTTATTTTGAGACAGAGAATTATGTAAATGTTACCGATAGAGACCTGAATTTAGGTAGTTTTAGATGAGTTACCCAGACATAATCAGCAGTTGATTGTCTAGTGATTGTTAAAGTAGGTATAGATGGTATAGATAACACTAGTTGATGTGTAGTTCGTAGCTGCAAGGAGCACACTTCTGTTAATTGTGGTATCACGCGACCAACGATGCCCTCAGAGGAGAACAAGCTTTCTGCCAGGGGCCATCGTTAAAGTCAAATTTGTCGCCGAAATGAGCGCATATTTAAATCCATTACCCGATCACGTGGTGCGTTTTGTCTTTTTTAAGGAAAAATTGTCATTGAATGTGTCAACGCACGTGACCAGTGGGTAAGATGTAGATCACGGCACCTAAGGGTAAAATTAAGTAAAAAACGAAGGGGTAAAATGTAGGTAGAAAGACCAGGAGGTAAAACGCCGTCTCGTAAACATGGGATAAAATATTGGTCACTAGATCAAAGGATTAATGAAGATACGTTACCGTCACATTATCGGTCATTTATGTGGGAATGGAATACATAAATAATATTATTCGTGGCAATATTGAATGTTAATGTAGTGTTATTATTAACGTTATAAGCGGTAAGATCCATATTATTGTTTGTCACGTTGTGTGTAGCACCGAATTGACAGTTCCAAGTTGATTGCAGTGCGGCCACATGGTGAGCTGCGCCAGTCACTTACCATTACATTAAACACACTTAACGTGATTTTTAATGAGTCTTCCCTTACCTCCGCCAGCCTCAATATCCGCAGCGCTTAAAGCTCAATGACTTGCAACTCGTTCAACACCTCGCATCGCTAGACAGACTCGTTTTTAAACAGCATTCCTATTTCTAGCACCGCATTGCTTCACTGATGTGAGGGCTCTCTCAGGATGCTAATGGAAAGCGAATTCGTGGCAAATGTTTCACCGTAGGTGAGCTACAGGGGTTAGACAAAATAAGGGAAACACCTGACGCTTTGATGTCGTATTTTTTTAACATGTTATAAACAAAGAAAACGTGTCATATTTTTATGTTTTTATTGTTGTTGCTAATTGATATTTCATCTTTGCACAGATATTTTTAGTGAATTTTTGTGCCTATAACCTAACCTATACATGGCAAACCTCTCCGAATTTCAAAGAGGCCAAGTTGTTGGTGCCCGTATGGCAGGCAGGTGCTAGTGTGACAGAAACTTCCCGCATGCTTGATGTTTCTAGAGGGACTGTCTCAAAATTACTGGCGTTTGAAGGAGATGGAAAAACGTCCTCAGCAAAGCTCAGGAAAGTCGAAGTTATCTAAGAGAGACCATCGTTTTCAAAAATGAATTGTGAGGAACAATCGACGGACCACGGCTGTTAAAATTACTGCAGAAAATGGACACCTACAGAACCCAGTTTCAAAAAAGACTGTCGGCCGCGAGCTGCACAAATTTGTATTCTACGGAAGTCTCTCCCTCCTGATATTCCTGGTGTTGATATTAGCGGCCGGTGTAGGGCAAGTGACGCAGGCCGGGGTTGCCTGATGGTAGCAATAAAATAACTGCCAAATTACTTCACTAAAAGTCCCCAATTTTAATATTATTTACAAGCATATTAGTTATTTTCAGCGCAAAATAAATCAAATTTTCAGGTTGAAAAAAGTACCCATAACGTTTAATATCCGTTCAAAAATGTTTAAGGGCCTTCATGGTTGACTGCCGGCCAACGCATTTGGAAGGGCCCGGATCGTCGAATTTGGCCGGAAAACGGCTTATCTGGCCACCCCGATTTGCGGACGACAATGGACAAGTTCTTGGGGAGTTTATTGGTACTCGCAACTAAAGATCTGTCGTTGCCCGAGCGGCCGAGCCTATCCCTAAGTTTTTAATCTAATTGTATGTCGTGAGTCTTTACGCATATTTAAACAATGTAAAAGTACCTACCTATTTTTATCCCAAAAATGAGCACACTTTCATACGATAACTTCTAACACAGAGGTTGTTCACAGAGCTTTGATAGCTCAAGTCGATGTCGGCTTTTCGATGAGCATACTCCTGTACCACATATGTTGTACTCCTATACCACATCGGTCAGTCACATTTCTTACCCAGCACGTTTCCGTGGATTTGAATTAATTGCATCATTATTGTGCACAACCATATTATATTGCAAATTGGTTTAATATACGTTTTACAACCGTTTGATTGAGACTGAATTTATTATGTGTGTATGGAAGCTTTCAAAATAAACGACGGTGTTACACTAGGTTGTGCCAAATAGAAAACAGCTTCTGTCGATGCCGATGTCCCCACAGCATTTACCTCGCCGACCTTCAATAGATACGTTCTATTTTAAAAAGAAAGCTATACCGCATTTTCCTAGCGCGATCAAAACAGTTACGTAGTCATCATTGGTTACTGTACCCTGCAAACCGTTGTTCGGACAAGTATTACACGAGTTTTAGCGACTAGCTGCGAGGGACGCACAGTTTCAGCAGAGTGGTGCACAGTTTCAGCTGAGCATTGCATAGATTCGGCAGAGTGGTGCACAGTTTCAGCAGAGTGGTGCAGTTTCAGCAGAGTGGTGCACAGTTTCAGCTGAGTGGTGCATAGATTCAGCAGAGTGGTGCACAGTTTCAGCAGTGGTGCATAGATTCAGCTGGCTGAGTGGTGTTCACAGTTCCGCTCCTAAACAAGTTTGTAATCAGCATAACCAATGAACCCATCCTTTTTCCCACTGTTCAGACCTGCCAGCCTGGCCTTCCAGGTTCCCCCATGCCACGTGGAAATGCTTACTTCCCCTCATCCCACCTGCCACAGCCGTCGGTGCGTCAACGAAGAAAAAAAAAGGTAGTAGTTTGGCCACAATTAAGAAAAAGTTTTCAACTTTAAATAGAATAGCAAAAGAGGCGCTGGGCGCATAATTATTTTTTAAACATTTTCTCCGGGTTGCATTATGTCTCTAAGTGCGAGAAATCAATCAGGGATTTGTCACATTTGAATCCGAGCACGAGATCACATTAATGACACAGTACGGTAACTAGTAAGTCTGCTCGGCGTTGCTCGGGCCAGAGGGTGAGTGTGAGCGCACACAGGCGCTGGGAGACAGCAAGCAGCACAAGTCAAATATCACTCGCCATTTAATATTTATTGAGCTTCAGCGTCCTGGGCAGTATTATGAAAAACAGTTAAGAGCTCCCCACTCTATGAGCCATCCACTGACGGCTTTTCAAGTTAAATCTACAAAAAATCGGCAGCTAAATGAGCACAGGCCGCTCCGTGTACCTCAGAGAGGTCTTGCAGTACGGATTTACACCTCCAGGGAAGCCATAATGTTGTATGTTGATTCGAGAACAAAACTATCAGTCGTAAAATCGAAGTAACAGTAGTGCTAGGGAACCATCAGTTAGGCTAGGAAACTATCAGTTATGCTAGGGAACTATCAGTTGGACTTGTGAACTATCAGGCTAGTGAACCATTATCAGTTAGGCTAGGGAACCATCAGTTAGGCTAGGGTATCATCAGTTGTGCTAGAAAACATCAGTTAGGAGCCGTTTGGCAGGGAATAGAAGGACGCTGCGCACTAAACTTTTATTAATGATTAAACGTGAACAATTCGAAGGCCACAAGCGGCGCGCAGGAATGTTGACCGCAGGACAACACCCGCAGGTGAGGGCGTCCCGAGGGGCAGAGGATGTGAAGCCCTCGAGGTTGCGGCTTAGCGGTGCTTCTTGACGGTCTCCACGAGCTTTTCGTAGTTGGCCCCTGAGAAGTCGTCCACCTGCACACACACAAGACACTAGTGACGGAGGATACTAGTGACGGAGGATACTAGTGACGGAGGATACTAGTGATGGCGGATACTAGTGACGGAGGATACTAGTGCCGGCGGATACTAGTGACGGAGGATACTAGTTACGGNGACGGCGGATACTAGTGACAGAGGATACTAGTGACAGAGGATACTAGTGACAGAGGATACTAGTGACAGAGGATACTAGTGACAGAGGATACTAGTGACAGAGGATACTAGTGACGGCGGAGACTAGGACGGAGGACACTAATGATGGAGAATACTAGTGACGGCAGACACTAGTGACGGCAGACACTAGTGACGGTATTGTGTAAAATACCTCCCTAGTCGTGAGGTATTTGGATCGTCTCACACAATATCACAAATAAGGCAAGAAATAATTCAGCTGATACATATTGAACTAAAGAATACGGCCAATATTTCGGGCGTTAGTCAGGCACGGCTTAGAAGGTGGCCAAATTCTAATAATTATATATTCTGTTCAAGTATATAACAATTGGTTAATTTGATTGAAATTTTGAAGCGATGGCCGCTATAATGGGTCAATGAATGGGTAATGAATAGTTCATGAAAATCCGTAACGGCATTGCCCCCATCACTGTAAGGCAAATGTATCGAAGTACACAAACAGAATGGTTATTTGCACCTAAAATATCAGTTAATAGGAGCATGTGCATCATATGAACACAAAATGTCAGTCATGACAACTAACGAACCTAATAAGATTTAAACGACTTTCGATGCTTGAGATCATTAGAAGGTGGAAGGATTATGTTCAAAAAGTAAGAGAAAACAATAAAAGGAAGTGATGTACTCTTGAAGGAAAATACAAAAGGACGTTTGGAGACTTGACGTCGAAAGTGAAGAAAGTAAAGCAACGGTAACAGCGGGTTCCTCAGCCAACACTTGAGGCAACGCTCGACAGTGAAGTTTAATACAAAGTGATAGCTAATTGATTTGATGTGATTGCATAATTGAAGCAGTAATTTGTTCCGAGTACCATGCATATAAATTGTCTCGAGTACCAGTAATAAAAAGGAATACTAATTAAGGAATAAAAATAAACTCACACAAATAGCAGACAGTAAAACAGCGAAAAAAAAGAATTATTAAGACTTGAGTAACTGCTACTGCATCTAATGATTGGAATTCTGATAAAAATTAGAGTTCTGATACTGATAATGCTGATTGAAGCTAATAAATGTCGGTTATATGATAATTGAGATTGATATTGTTACATGCAAGTCATAGAGTCTAAGAGGGAATATTGGCAGTGAGACTAGACTGAAGTCTTCTCTACGAATGAGCGAACAATGGCTAGATGAACTCCTTGCCTCGACTACGGCACAGAATGATTCCTCAATAGTCAATACAGAAAGTTAAGAGAGGCTAGAGCAGCAAGACGCATCTCAGGAGGTTATCCCCTCTCAGCCCACTTGACCCACCTCGCCCCACTGGACCCACCTAGCCCCACGTGACCCACCTAGCCCCACGTGATCCACCTAGCCCCACGTGACCCACCTAGCCCCACGTGACCCACCTAGCCCCACGTGACCCACCTAGCCCCACGTGACCCACCTAGCCCCACGTGACCCACCTAGCCCCACTTGACCCACCTTCTGGCCGTTCTTGAAGAAGAGGAAGGTGGGCATGCAGGAGATCTTGTACGTCATCGCCACGTCCTCGCACTCGTCCACGTCCACCTTCAGGATGACCACGTCAGACATCTCCTTGCCCAGCGCCTGTACACGTCAACACGTCAGACATGTCCTTGCCCAGTGCCTTTACACGGCCAGATGGCCATGTCAACACGGCAACACACGGCCAGATGGCCATGTCAACACGGCAACACACGGCCAGATGGCCATGTCAACACGGCTGCGCTAATCGAGACATGACACTCAAACAAGTACATGTCCCCACACCCCCACCACCCCTCCTCCTCCTCCAAGGATCGATGTGGAGAGCCGTGGCTTATCAACGGCGCACCAGCGGCGCGGCAAGACTTGCAACGCCGCAGCGCTGAAGGCCGCGTCGTCTTGTTTACTGTCGTCACCAAGACTGCATCGACCTCAGCGAACCTCACCTCACACAC